GTGCACCACGCAAGGGCGCAGGGTGCACCACGCAAGGGCGCAGGGTGCACCACGCAAGGGCGCAGGGTGCACCACCAAGGGCGCAGGGTACACCACGCAAGGGCGCAGGGTGCACCACCAAGGGCGCAGGGTGCACTACCAAGGGCGCAGGGTGCACCACGCAAGGGCGCAGGGTACACCACGCAAGGGCGCAGGATACACCACCAAGGGCGCAGGGTGCACCACCAAGGGCGCAGGGTGCACCACCAAGGGTGCAGGGTGCACCACCAAGGGTGCAGGAGCCTCGTGTGCAGTCTGAATGTTGGAGGGGAAGGGAGTTGGGGGCAGCAGATGAGAGTGGGACCAGCAGAGCTTCAATTCAAGGTGAAAGACAATGGCCGCTTCCTATGTCATCCACATCTACAGTCCTTCGTACTCGCAGCATTACCAAGTTGAGTACAGATGACAGAAAGGACGGGGCAGGGCTCACAGAGCACGCTCTAAGTCTAGGGCCGGCATTGCGGCTCATAACTCAGGTGAAGGTCTCCACTTACTATATACCGAGACCATACGGTAATCACCTCATGTGCAGGCTGAAGCGATGGAGATTACTGACAGCCAGGGTACCACACAGCCAGGGAGACAAGTGCCACAGCTATGCATGGCTGGAGATTACAGACCATCATACAGCAAAGCGCTCTCTCTCTCTCTCTCTCTCTCTCTCTCTCTCTCTCTTTCCCCAGAGAGCCTAGAGAGGACAAGGTAAACCAGGTGATGAAGGTCAAGCCCAGAGGCACAGCGACCTGCTGCAGAGGTAACAGAAATAGCAGCTCCGCCAGCTGTGGGTTTACCCACTCCCAATGGTGAAGAGAGCAGGACAGAGAAAAGGGCCATTTATCTTCTCTACCATATCACCTATCAAGAAGAGAGCATGCAAGCCCAGCAATAAGGGAAGAAGAGACTGAGCGGCAGGGCTCGCCTTCTGCTTGCTGAGAGGTAACCAAGACCGTCTGCTCTGTTTGTGCACTGTGGGGCTTTTCAGTACTGTCACTTTTTACTTAAAGATGCTTCTTTTTGGACATAATACAATAAGGCCCTGTTTTTCTCAACATAGCTTTGTATATTGTTTCACAAATGATCAAACTGAGATTTTTTTTAAAAAAATAACTTCATTTTTAATCTTCAATAAAAGTTTAGAAGTTTTTTTTTTTGAGTCTACTGACTTCAAATACCTGTTAATGAAGATGTTAAATAAGAAGTTTTAAAATTAAGTGTGAATTTGTGGCTATGCAGGGGTGACCTCAGACCCAGCATTGTTCAAGGGTTATCTCTAGTTGAAGAGTTGAAAAATGGGCCAATCCTTTTAATTTTGCTGCTTGAAAAGCAAGCCTTAAATTTTTATACATTCCTCAGGGAAAACTTGGAATTTGAGAAGCACAATCATTTAAACAAAGCTATAAAGCTGACAGAATCAGACCTCCTTGGGTTTGGAAGAACTGAATGAGACCTTCCCTCACCCTTTCTCCTAGAGGAGATGCTGTGCTTTGAGAAGCAGGAGGGCTCGAGTGACCTTATCTCCATCTTTCCTAAGCTCACGGGTCTGTCAACTCTACAGTTCACACACTAACAGTCGCCAAACGCCCTCTGCGTGACATGATATCCTTCTAAACCCTGATTTAAAAAATTCATTGCATTTATCTATTTATTTATTTATCTAGTTAGTGTGGAGGGTTTGTGAGAGTACACCGGCCACAGTGTGTGGTACATGTGCGTGCATGTGTATGTGCATGTGTGTATGTGTGTGTGTGTGTGTGTGTGTGTGTGTACAACGTATGGGAATTGGTTTTATCCTTGTACCACACGCGTGGAGGGGATCAGACTCAGGCTGTGAGGCTTGCAGCAAGCACCTTCACCTGCTGAGATATCTCAGTTCCCTATATTTTTTAACATTAAAATGACTACAGAAAAAACAAGAATATAAAAAAAAAAAGAAATGGCTGGGTGGTGGTGGTGGTGCACGCCTTTAATTCCAGCACGTGGGAGGCAGAGGCAGGTGGATCTCTGTGAGAGTTTGAGGCCAGCCTGGTCTGCAGAGCAAGTTCAAGGACAGCCAGGGCTGTAGAGAGAAATGCTATCTCAAAATACCAAAAAAAGAAAGAAAGAAAGAAAGAAAGAAAGAAAGAAAGAAAGAAAGAAAGAAAGAAAGAAAGAAAGAAAGAAAGAAAGAAAGGGAAAGGAAAGGAACAGAAAGAGTGATGAGAGAAAGAAGGAAGGGAGGAAGGGAGGGAGGAAAGAAATGAAATCAGCTATGTGCTTAGCAACATCAATCAGCGTATGTGCAGAGTATTGGCACCCTAGCTCTGTGAACATGGATGACCAACTAGGGACTAGATAGGTGTCACCAGTGAGTGCAGGGACCAGTGGTCAGCTAGGAGTCTGTTTGAGTCCCCACCCCACGATGCTCACGCATACACACAACCTTATAAAGAACCATGCACACCAAGGTGGCTCTTCACCCCTGTGTCCCCTGCTGTGCATTTCCTCTGAAACCTGAACCTTCACTATTTTGAACTCAAAACATCATAGATGAAGAAAGCGAAGTATGGGGTGGTTTACGAGAGGACACTCAACCAGCGACCCCCAGACAGAGCTCGGCACACCAAAGAGGCTGAGAAGCACAGTACTATCCAATTTGTTGTTTCAGTAAATACAGCACTTCCAATGCGTGTAATTTTATGTGTAAACTGGATCTAGGTACTAAACCACAGATGCACATACTATTAAATGCATGCTGAATACAGATACCACGCTTGAGGTTTCCTTCCCATACTCCAAGGAAGCACCTCCTTCCAGCCTCAAAGGCCTGTGCCTCCCTTCCATGCTGTGGGAGAGAAATGGGCAGGACAGCTGCCATCGCTACAGCTGAGGGCAGGCCCTGTTCCTGCATGGCATCTCCTTTTCTCAGAGCACAGCATTTATTTCCTTCACACTTCTTATCTCCTCCCAAAGGACCTGAAGTGTCTCACTTATTTTCCTGGTTTAATGCCTTTACTCCTTGCCCCTACACACTCCACAACGTAAGCTTCTTGAGAGCCAGGGTTTTGCCTGAGTTATTTCTAATTTTTCAGGACCCAGAACAGAGCATCACATAGTAGATATTCATCAAATACTTATCAATAAACTTAGTTCTCCAGACTGCACAGTGTCCCCAGGCTCCCATCCCACGCTTACATCTCTGTTGAGTCCTCCATTTTTCCAGCTGGTAACAAAGTAGAAGCCCCACCATCCTGCAGGAAGGACACCATCCTGCAGGTGTAGGACAATACTCTGTCCTACACCAAAAAAAAAAAAAAACCTTCTCAGCTCTAAAGACCCTCTACAGGAGAATCCTGTCCTTTGCATAAAACACAAAACCAAAAATACCAAATGTAAGATTTAAAAATATGGAATGACAATATTTGAAAGAAATATTTGAGACTCATTTCTTTTTCTTAAAGAGTGGGGGATGGGGAGTCTTATATGTCTCAGCTGACTGCCATTCTGCAAAGCAAAGTCATTATTCTCCATCAGCCATGTTAAGTTGCTGGAGTTTCTGTCCTGGAAAAGAACGGGGAAAGGCATGTAGGTACCTGATGGTTCTCCACACGTCGAAGCCGTCCAGAGGCTTGGTACCGTTGGTGCTTCCCCCGGCCAGATTCACCAGTGTTGGAAGCCAGTCTGAGATGTGAATGAGTTCCCGGCTCTTCACGCCTTTCTGTTTCAGCAAGGGGCTTGCCACAAAGCTTACCCCACGGATGCCTCCTTCCCACAGGGTCCATTTCCTTCCGCGAAGCGGCCAGTTGTTGCCCCCAGACAGAGTCTGCCCACCGTTGTCTGAAACACAGAGAAGCCTTGGCATGAGCAGGTGAAAGGTATCAAAATGGAGTCACTTGTGTCAAGCCCTAACAGACAAAAATGTAACTGGGGAAGCTGAGGTTATGAAGGAGTGGGGTGTCATATGTGTATGCCACACGATGAGAACAAGTCAGAACCACAGTCTTGGGGGTGGGAGCTTACTGTGACCTTATACAAGAATACTCCTGCAAGGACATCCATTCAATAATTGTCAATCTTAGACAAGTTCTGTTCTTGTTGCTCAACTCTGTGGCCAAGGACTATTACTTCAACATAACTTATGCAATATTCCTCAGTTTTCCTTTAAAACATCCCAGGTGCCAATCTCTTTAAAAGTGCCCAGAGTAGCAAGAAAACATGTTCCCGTTGCAATGCTCCCTGCTCTCAGAGAAACTCATGACCTTTGAGATTCTGTTTGGTAGTTGGGGGAAAAGGACAATGCTTCCTCTCTTTAAAGAAAAAGTTAATTATGTTAACTATGTGTGTCAGTACGTGTGCAGAGGGGACATACAAATTCAGGTACCTGTAGAGGAAGAGGATGTCAGCTGGGGTTACAGGTGTGAGCCTCCTCATGTGGGTGCTGTAACCTAACCAGGTCTTCGGTAAGAGCAGTACACGTACTTAGAGGCTGAGCTGTCTCTCCAAATAGCAACACTTTCATTTCTCCTCAGCCTGTCGTGCCTTGCTGCGGGAGCTCCTTCCACTCCTTCAGCCAATAGCCGCTGAGATACCAGCCCATTGGGGCGTGGTGTCTCTCTCTTTAAAAAAGCAGCAGCTGTCCTCCACTCCCTCTCTGGGTTCCGGCTCTGCTTCCGGCTCCTAGACTCGTTTCCTGTTCGCGCAGAGGGGCTGTTGTCTGGGACAGTAATCTGTAAGTTTTTCCCCTTTGAATAAATAACCCTTCTATTAATCATAATTCCAAACTGGTGTGGGATTATTTGTGACTTACGCCTTCAGTGCCTCCCCATCTTTCCAAGTGGTAGCACTTTGTCTAAGGGTGGGGATGAGCGGTGTGGCCCAGCTACTTAAAAGTGGTCAGGGTATGTTTTCCAGTGCTCAAGAACATGAGGTTTCCATGTAACTCTTGGTAAAGGGATCTTGAGGAAAAACGGTGTGCCCTCTTCCCTTCTCCCACGGGACACCGTCCTCCAGGACCAGACATAACCAGGGTCCAGCATGACACTCATCTGGTAAAAAGCCCTTCCATCCTCTATGAGTTCTACAGTAGATGGAGGCCAGACAAAAGCATGGAGGAATCTCACGGGCAGAAGACCACAGTGCACACGCAGGAGCTCGAGAGCTGGCCTTCCCTGGGTTCGTGAAAAGAAAACTCAGGGGGGTTTCACTTAGTGACTCCAAGTCACTTCAGGGGAGGACAGAAAACCTTTTAAGATTTGTCTTTCAGCACCAGGCACTGTGGCCCACGCCTTTAACCCTGGCACTCGGGAGGCAGAGGCAGGTGGAGCTCTGAGTTGTTGGCCAACCTGGTCTACAGAGCAAGTTTGAGGACAGCCAGGGCTACACAGAGAAACCCTCGAAAAGAAGAAAGATAGGTTCATCTTGAAAGAGAACTTCTAACCCTGAAGCTGGTACTCAATTACCAACCCACTCTCTGGTGACCTTTCTTATGTGTGAAGTCACAGTATCTCCCGACCCTGCAAACAGCACAGCTGCGGGAGGGGAAGTGAACCATTTCCTCCCTTTACAGGATGGCAAGGTGAAGTTCCACTGTATGCTGTGCCAGGAAGAGAAGGTCTTGCTCCAAGATGTCAGAGGTGTGCAGGGCGCTGGTGTAAACAGGGTAGAGGTGGTAAGAACGACAGACACTGGGTGGCTTATGAGCCAGGTGCGAGCGCAGAGGGAAACACTGAGTTTGGACTGTAGAAAAACAGCAGTGATGTTTCTGGGTTACCAAATTTGTAGAATCATATTAGTTTCCAAGGTACCCGGGGACCAAGGTGACTTCATGTACATATCTAAATACTCTTTATTTGCAGGTATATGATACTTAATCATTGCTTCTTTTAAAAATCCACTGTTGTCCAAATGACCTACAGGAGGGTGGTATGACAGGCTTGTTCCACGGAATGTTCCACACGGTCCTGCTATCCTGGAGGAGTGGCCCAAGACATCCAGTGGATACTTGAAACCCAGGTAACCGCACTCTGTTTTTTCCTACAGACACCTATAATAAAAGTTCGATTTAGTTTCTTTTGATTTTTACTTTTTATGTGTATGGGTGTTTTGCCTGTATATGTCTGTGCAACATACACACATCTGGGTGTGGAACTCCGGAACTAGAGTTACAGTCGGCTGTGAGTCACCATTGCTGGGAATTAAACCCAGGTCCCCTGGAAGAGCAACCAGTGCTCTTAACTGCTGAGCCATCTCTCCAGTTCTATACTATATACAGTGACTATTTATAAGTTAGGCATAGTAAGATACCAACAAGGATAACAATAAAACAGAACAATTATAATACATTGTTACAAAAGCGGGTACATGCTGCCCCAGCTGAGGAAGGGGGATGTTTTCTAGCCCTGGAGCTTGAGACAAGCCTGAACAATACAGAAAGACCCAGTCTAAAACTCAAAAGCCAGGTGGCTGTGGTTTCTCTCCCGCACTATGGTACCACACTACATGTTGCATGAAGGAACAGTTCATGTACTAGCATGATGGTAGACTTCACTACACTAGATGTCCATGCAGAAGAAAGTACAATTTAAAACTCAGCGTTTATTTATTTTGGAATGAATTTTCCATTTACTATTTTCATGGGATCATGGTGGACCCTAGTCAACTAAAACAGTAGAAAGCTAAGCCATAAATACAGAGGACTCTAGAGTATGGACTGTGTCTACACAAAGCAAGGAAGCATTAACTCCACATCAGACACCATAGATTTCACAGGATCTTAAGGTCTAAGATGGGAAAGACATAACTGACGGCTAACGCCAGCTGCTCACTAGCAGGGAACCAGGGACAACACGCTACCACCGTTTCTTCATTGTTCCTGTTTGAAAGTGAGGATGAAATGCCACCTGGGTGTTCAGTAAACAGTAGTGACTGTCATCGTCCTCCATGCCCGCGGCCACGCCAACCGTCTAGATTACAATGGTCCTGTTCCTTGAGGAGGAAGAGGAGGACTGAAAACAGTTGAGAATGGAAAAGCTAGCGCTCCAGGCTCTGTCTGACCCCCGGGCCTCTGCACCTACAGTGCCAGTCCCTGGCGTTCCTAGTGCAGTGTGGGCTTACAAAAAGGCTTCCAACTCTCTGAGCAAGCCACGAGGACCAGCAAAGAGCGAGCACACTCTTCCCATGAGACAGCAGGAGAAAAGTCACTTCCGAGGGCTCCTTTTATTGGTATTGGGGGAGGATGTTCAAGGCTCCACTGCCACGGAGGCTTCTCATGGAGTCACTGACATACACATGTTTGGTTCCTTGTCCTGCTTCATGAAGGAGAGTGTAGGGCTAGGCTAAAGGAAATACCTCTTCGGCACGTGCCTGGGTGACAATGGATCTCATCACTTGATATCAATGACATATAAGACCGCCTCTTCAAACTCCACTGCATTTTTTAAGATAAAAAAAAATATGTGTGTGTTCTTCTATGAGTTTATGTGCATAACAGGTGTGCAGGTGCCAGAAGAAGGCCTTGGATCCCCTGGGGCTGGAGTTACAAACAACTGTGACCTGCTATGTAGATTCCTGAAACCAAACCCTAGTCCTCTGAAAGCTGCAAAGGCTCTGAGCCATGGAGTCATCTCTCCATGCATCCTGTACTGCATTTTCTCCTCCCCCAGAACCCAAGGACCAAGTCCGTGTGCAAGTTTATGAAACCCACATTCTATGTCGTGTTGCCTTCAGTTCTCACCGAGTATCAGGCCCCTTAGCCAATAGAGCAACATTACAAAGAAGGAACCTTCGTGTGCCCAAAACTCAGACCCCTACAGCCAATAGAGCACACTGCAAAGAACTGTTGTGTGCTCAAAATTGCCCTTGTAGCTGAGGAATGCTGAGAACGAGAGAAATCGTCTTCCTCGGGGATTAGATAAACCACCAACTGGTTATCTAACAGCAAATGGTCAGCCCTGAAAACATACGCACAAGTTATACTCTGCAGACAGAGCAGGTTGTATTTATAATTTTAGGAATATACACATATATGTATAAGATAATGACAAGACTGAATTTGCAAGAGAACAAGGAGGGGTATACGGAAGGGTTTGGAGGAAGGAAAGGGAAGGGGCTTTATAATTATGTCATTATATTATGAGCTCAAAAAAAATGAAAAGAAGTATTTTTTAAACGCACCAAAATGGAGTGGTCACAACCTGGCGTGTGAATGCCTGGGGTGGCACGGCTGTGAAGCTGCACAGTGCACAGACGACGCCCGCTGTTGCTTTTCTGAGCAGACACAGGTCTTTGAAATACTAGTTAATGAGTCCCTCGGTTCCATACACATACTTGTTTGTGCTCCGTGGAAAATACCGGACGGTGGTAATGGTGGAGATCAGAGGTGGTGGGGCCGAGGGCAGCTATGTCTGGAATCTGATCCTAGTCTGACTGACGGAGTCAGGGAGGAAAACACTCTTGGATGGAAATCGAATCTGGCCACTGCTGCTACTGCAGGGATTGAATGCATCTCCACACAGCACGCTGCCAGGGCCAAGGCAGCGAGGAGGACTGTTTTTGTGATTAGCTCACCGTGATGTTTCTGCCATTAGCAATGATAAGGTCGCCAGCACCAGTTAGCAATATGGCTTCCTCTTTCGGTTTCTCGAGACTGCTCTAAAAGAAAGAACCGTCAATGGACGGACACACCTGTGACTTCCACCTGCTTCTTCAGCCACAAAGCCATCTGCAGCTGTGCCATGGTGGCGGGAAGTTTGGCGCCCCCTGGGGGTGGAAGCTCCACACAGCAAGAATGCATGTGCTCTGATAAAACAGTGTGGGGGGGGGGTTTCTCCTGTAGTTCA